GGAATCAATGAAAAACATATCCTCAGGTAAGGATTAAAAACAAAACCAACAACCACCCCCCGCCCCCTCCCCCCAAACTAGATGAGCTTAATTTGCTTTATCCTGACAAATTTTTTATTTGAAGTTTGGTCACTAACCATTTCCTGTGTTGCACTGTGCATATCCTTCTTATAGTTACTATTCTCAAACTAATAATGATAATCCTCTACATTAAAGAAGCCAAGATTGGATATAATCTGACAGTTCCTGTAAATTATTTTAAATGGATACTGACATATGCCTTGTTTGGTGCTTTTCTCTCTCAAGAAGTTAGCATGACCTATTTGGAGGAGCCAGTATGGCTGAATTAAAGATAGGAATGAATATGAGATTGGAAGCCATGAATAAGTTTTGACTCAATGACTTAGAAATTATGACTTTAGAAAAGTCACTGATTCCTTGTGCCAAAAATACTCTTCAATAAGCAATAAGATGTTTCTACTTTAAAAACTTTCCCCATTAATTTTAAGCTCAACTTAAATTATATATGAAGACAGAGGAAAAAAAAAAACAAGAGGCAATTGCAAATAAAGGAGTAAAAGAAAAAGTTACACAGAATCCTTTTAAACCCTCTTTCTTCCTCTCAAGGAGAAAAGCTGAAAGTGATAAAATGCTCAGAGAATTGCTAGGCATCTTCCTAACAACCTATTAAACTACGCAACACTCATGAAACAGTACCTCTTGTTTTAGAGAGAGAAGAACCCTAAGTCTGATTTTCCCAAGGTCACAAAGTTAGAGATCAGATTAAATGAAGCTCTAGGACTTTGTACTCTTCATAATTTTGAAAGAATGTTAGATCATAAACCAAAAAATGCTACAATTACTTCACTCTATATGCTATATTCTATATCTGTGCTGTCCAATAAGGTAGACAGCCACAGGCAGCTATTAAGCACCTGATAAATAGCTTGTCCAAACTGAGATAGGTGTATGTGTAAAATATGAACTAGATTTTGAAGACTTAGTATGAAAAAATATAAACGATTTCATTTTTGAACATTGATTACATGTTACAATGGTAATACTGGATTAAATAAAACTCACTGGACAGAACTGGTTCATTCTTCTTGCGAGACTTTTCAATGAAACAGATGATGTCATTACAAACAAACCAAAAAACAGTACTGCCTTAAAATTTGCTGTAGTACAACATAGAACCATATTTAGAAATGTGCATAATTAAGTGTTCCGAGAGACACAGACATATATGTAATTAATAAATACATAAAATAGGCCATCCTGGTGTGCTCTAAGGATAATAAAAGATGTTTCTATCTCAATACAGGCATGTGAGACTTTGAGTAAGTCACAAGTGAGGAGAAAGTATGACTTTCCATTACAGCAATTTGTCATTTCCTTAGCTGAAAATATTCCTATTCTAATGTACACACAAGGCTATCAAAGTTAGTAGAAGATGCCCATAAGGCACTATGAACATCTCAAAAAAAAAAAATTCTGCTTAATGGGTGTATTTTTAGTTATTTTAGAAACCATATATTATAATATTGTTCTAATGCAGAGTCAGCTCTTAGTCTTATTTTGACTAAATAAGAGATACTCAGTAAGGGGGAACATCAATTAAAAAAAATAAGGATCACTTAAGAAAAGTTTGTCAATCCACAAAATGTTACATATAAAGTTACACGTGAACCAGTAAGTCTATTCCTAGGTATACAACCAAAGAAAAATGAAAACATAGGTCCACACAAAAATGTGTATGTTCATAGCAGCATTATGCATAATAGAAAAAAAAGTGGAAACAATACAAATGTCCATTAACTGATGAATAAACAAAATGTGGCATATCCACACAGTATAATATTATCCTATATAATAAAAGCTTAATATGTTAAGTGTCCGGTCATCCGTTCAACGAATCAAAGTGTAATATGCTAATGATATGCTAAGGCCGCTCAACTGCTCACTATGATGTGCGCTGACCACCAGGGGGCAGACAGTTGACTGGTCAACCAGTTGCTATGATGTGCACTGACCACAGGGGGCAGACAGTCGACTGGTTGACCAATAGCTATGACATGCACTGACCACCAAGGGGGCAGATGCTCTGACTGATCAGTTAGCTTGCTGCTGGGGTCTGGCTGATCGGGACTGAGCTAGACGGGCTGGACACACCCTGGAGCCCTCCCGCGGTCCTACCCTGGCTGGCCAACCTCCCATGTCCCTCTCCAGCCCCGATTGTGCATTGGTGGGGTCCCTCAACCTGGCCTGCACCCTCTTGCAATCTGGGACCCCCTTGGGGGATGTTGGAGAGCCGGTGTCAGCCCGATCCCATAGGCCAGGCCAAGGGACCCCACTGGTGTACGAATTCATGCACCAGGCCCCTAGTTCAGCTATAAAAGGAATGAAGCGTTGATACATTCTTGTTACATGTGTGAACCTTAAAAATATGGTGCTACCTGAAAGCCAGCCAGCCACAAAAGATCACATATTGTGTATCTCCATTTATATGAAACTAGAGGCTCCCGCCACAGCCGCTGCGCTCACCAGCCGTGAGCCCGGCTTCTGGCTGAGTGGTGCTCCCCCTGTGGGAGCTCACTGACCACCAGGGGGCAGCTCCTGCGTTGAGCGTCTGCCCCCTGGCGGTCAGTGTGCATCATAGCAACCAGTCATTCTACAGTTGAGTCGATTTGTGTATTAGCCTTTTATTATATAGGATAGGAGGGCTAGTGCATGGATTTGTGTACATTGAAAGCAAATTAATTAGAAGGTGTGGAATGCAAATGTACTGTTAATTGCACAACTCTGTGAAAACAACAAAAAACACTTTAAATGGGTGAACTATAACAATTATGTATCAATTAAGAAATGTAGCCAAGCCCTAGCCGGTCTGGCTCAGTGGATAGAACATCAGCCTGTGGACTGAAGGGTCCAGGGTTCGATTATGGTCAAGGACACATGCCTGGGTTGCAGGCTTGATTCCCACTGGGGGGTGTGCAGGAGGCAGTCGGTCAATGTTTCTCTCTCATCTTTGATGTTTCTATTTCTCTCTCCTCCTTTCCTCTCTGAAATCAACAATAATATATATTTTTTTAAAATGTAGCTAAAAATGGAGGGAAAAGAATTTGTCAAGCACCTAATTGCCATTTTTCTGGATTTTGTAACTGTATTTATGTTTTTAAGTTTTGTCATTTGTGACACCTCCCCCCCCCCATTTTAACTTTAAAACAGAGAATCGCCTACTAGTCCAAGCTATTGAATAGCTTCTCAAACTATGAAACCCATGAAGACAGCACAAAACTACCTTTGAGATCAAATGGCTCTGTGGAAAGCCCCCAAAAAGTTACTATTTCAGTCAAGCAAATGGGTAAAGTTCAAAGAGGGGTGATGGGAATTTGAACATCTCAGCATAAAAAAAAAGTACAGAGGAACAACATAAAAATATTACTTTACCACTTTCTCATAAAAACTTTCGATTCAGATGCAGAATGGATTTTAAAAAAACCCACGAAACCCTATATATCTAAACCCTTACATTGAAGGGAAGAAATGTATCAAAAATCTGTGTGGTGTGTGTGTTTAACCCACACACCGTATGCAGCCTAAGGACCTCTGGAGCAACTATACGTGTTAATTAAAGTCGGTGGCTCCCCCCCCCCCCTTGGCCCCCTTTAAAATAACAAAATGCGATGGTGCCATTCCACAGCCTGCCCCATCCCCCACTACCATCACCGGCAGGTGGAGGGAAAGAAGACCAGAGGATGAAAGCTTTGCATAGCCCTCTGGACTTCACATGTCAGAATGCAGCTGGTGGTCTCGCGGGAGGGGGTAAGAGGTTTGTGAGCAAGCTGAAACAAGGGGCATCCTTTGCCTGGAAAAGGGCACCCCGTGAACCACATCTTGAATCCGCTGTGTCCACAGGAAAACAGAGGCCGCAGGAAGGCAGTTTTAGCATCACCGGGATGGCTCCTCACGCCGGGGGCGTTTTTTTTTTAAACCGAAGTTGACTCCTGTAGTTTAGATACGGGGAGGAGGCAGAGGTAAAATGAGAGTCGGGAGGACCAGGAAAAAAATGCCTTC